GAAGAAACACGCACATCTGATGTCATCTGAACTCTAGTGTCAAAATACCAATTGATTTCAATCTCATAAACGTACAAATTGTTACCACGATTAAAAAAGACATGCTTAACGTGAACAATTATCTAAGAAAATGTGAATCATCTCACGGAAAAATGCGTCAATCTTTAACTTGTGAAAGAAATGAATAATTTTAATTTTTAATTTATTTTTTTCAATAAAGATTTTTTTAAAAGAATAAAATATAAAATTGACTCCGAAAAAAATTATCTAAAGTTTTAAAAATTTCTGAATCTATAATTGTACAAATTATACGTATTAAATAGAAACAATAACATATAAAAAAACACGATTATAATTTAATATTAATAATATAAATTTTGTATTTAGGTATATGTATAATGATATTAATGTATACTATAATTAAAAAATTTAATAAAAAAAAAGTTAAAAAAAATTTAAGAAGCCAAAATTAAAAATTAAAAAAATAAACATAATCCTAAATATATATATAATCATAGATAATATTATCAACAATTAGACATTATTAATTGTTAAAGATTGTAAAGAGGACTAGACTACAGTTATATATATTTTTCTTTTTATTATTCAATCAAAAAATGTTAATAGACGAAAACAATTAATCTTTTCAATTTAGGACCTCGTTATCTGTCCTTCCCTTCTCCTCCCACTCTCTTAAAAAAAAAGAAAAGTAAAAATTACGCGACTTCTAAAGCATCGTAGACGTTCACATCCGTGCCGCGGGCTGTCGGAAAGTGAAGTATCAAAAGGGCGATGAGCGGAATAAGAGTGAACGCTAGTCTCTCGAGTTCCCCAGCTCCGTAGCTCTCGAGTAGGTTGTCAGAAGCCTCCGGGGCACAGTTGCACCATCTCCGGAGTTAGACCCCCTTGGGCGAACCGGCGGCCTTATTTACCCTTCCACTATGCTGGGCCCGGGCGGCCCACACGCGCGTATATGCTTCGTCGTGTACGCTTCAATTAAAACGTGTTTACCGCGACTAAGCGCGAAGTTCACGATCCGAGCCTTTCACGAGAAAAAAGTGCAGAGCGGAAAACGCAGATTGGAAACGCAAAAATTATCATTACGAGATAAACAACTAATTTTTTACTATTAGAGAATATTAATCTCGAAAAATGGAGTGAATTAAATTTACATTTAATTATTATGTTAATCGACAGACATTCTAATGAAATGAGATGGGAGTCACTATATGCCTATATTTTTCTTACGTATGATTTATCGATTTTATTAAATATGTTGTTAATTTATTGCGTATTAATATTTGTTTAAAAAACCATTAATAATTTTTATAGAAACCATTAATACAACAGAGAGAATTTTCTCTTAGAATTTACTCTGAAAAACATGATAATTGTGGAACAATTTCTGATTAATAATTACACCACAATAAAAATGTTAATATCTACTAATAAAATATCAAATATGTTCGATTAAATATTTTTTATCGTGGTAAATATTAATCAAACAAATTCTTATAAAATTCTTCTAATATCATATTGTTCTATGATTACCATGATTTTCAGGGTAAATTCCAAGAAAATCCTCTCCGTGACGAACTCCATAATATATGGTAAACTACTTATGAACTGTATATTTTTTATTTAAAACTTTTTTCAAAAAGAACTATCGAATTAATATAAATAATATCATCCAACTAGCAATGTTCGTCAATATGTTATTAATTATGAAAACTATTTGCTATAATTAATTTTCCTTTCCTGTAACATTCATATGCTTGATTTTTAATTTGTTCCAAACAACATTTGACTATATAGAAAATAGCTACATTGAAAATGTTCGTGTAGGTCAACGAGGGAACCATTCATCTCGTGATCGCGTCGCGCGAATTCTGATTGATACAAAGGAGGCCGCTCGAGTGTTCTTCGCAAATCGACCGTTCGCCGAAAGTTCGCGTGTCGACAGAGCTCTGCGTTATAAATTGTTTCGAGGACGAGGCCAACTCGCGAATTCGAAAGGACGAGCGTGATTTAAGGATGAGATCCCCTCGTTCCTTCTCATCTATTTAACCGCCTCAACGAATGACCAATGATTTATTTTTGCTGCGCAATCATTTATCAAAAAAGTGCATATTCATATTAGAAATATGAACGGAAAATGGAAATTTGCAAAACGTTGTAAGGCGAAAATTTTCAGCGTTTTAATTCCAGATACTTCTTCTATTTATAATAAATTCTATCTATAGAATAATAGAATTATATCAGAAATTTATTTCTTTCATGATTCATAGATAGATATAAGAATAAAATAAGATAATAGAGCAACGTGTGCAGAAAATGCTAAATTGCAGAACATTGCAAAGATTAGATTGGAAGAAAGAGAGATTTGATTTGACAATCGTGTAATTTCGTAATGAGACAATTTAAGCGATCACCATTGATAAGAATTAATCACGCGCAAGAATCCGGATCGGAAATATCAAAATTATGTAGCGAACGATTATTTTGCGATATCCGATCTTAGTCTTATCTGGATTCAATCACGATTAAAGATCATTTTTATGAGTGATTATCTTATCTTCGTCCTGTAATCCTTATGCGGAACATCGATTTATCATATCGATTATAGAATAACGTATCTGACGTTTTACATAAGTAGATTCACACGGGAAATTATTCACATTGAAAAAAATTATTAACATAATAATTTATTTCAATACCGTCTTATAAATCATTTTTTTTAAACAAATAGATATTTATCTTTTGAAAAGTTTTTGAAAAGGATTTTCTTATATCAAATAAATATTTTTTCACATTAAATCAATCTTATTAGTTTTAAATGATTTATAAGATAGTATATTGAAATCAATATTTATTCGAATTCAATAAATTTATTTTTAGTGCATGAATGCTCTATGAGATACAAATCACGATATTCTCTCTTTTTCATTCACTAGTATTGAGATATTAAATTAAAATATATTAATGAAAGAGCTAGGTCAAAGCAGGTCGTTTCGCGGCGAATTAAACCTCTTATTCTCTATAAGAAAAAAAAATCGATTCACGAAACGAGAGTGAGAGTGATTAGGTGGCTGAGTCGCAAAACTTGAGCGAAGTGAATGGACTCCCCACTCTCTTTCTTTAGAGTGTTCTGTCTGTTTGAAAGACAGGGCGTCCCAAAAAAAATATTTACAATTGTGTGTGGCTATTTCGCGAATAACAGATATTTTAAATAAAAATAATAAAATGTGCAATCATAATTATAAAATTGCAATTTTAAATATTGTGGAAAGAATGAATAATTATGCAGTTGTCAATCTCACAAATTTACGGTCGCAATTAGCGTCAAGAATGTAAGTTACTGCATTTGTTATTCGCTGCTGTTGGAACAACAAAATACAAGAGGCACGTTTTACAACTTCTACAAAATTTATTTGCAGACACACGATCTTTTAAGAAGCGCGTGTCTCCGATCCATTCAGCGAATATCCGAAACGTAATCGTGATCGATGTGGCTCATTTAGCAACCTGCAAGAGCAGGTTTTACGAGAGATGCTATAGGAAAACGGTTCACACAAGATGCTAATTAATTATTAATCATGATGTAACAGGTGAGACGACAAAACGCACTTCTGTTTCGTGCGTCTTTGTTGATGCAAATATCCGAGCGGATTATTAAGACATCGTCGAGAGGATAATGCTAATCCTCTTTATTTGGCATATTTTAGAATCTCTCGCAAAGTCCTTTGGTTCGTGAACATTTTTGCGAAACTATCGTTTTATCTTATATTAATCCGAATTGAATGAGGAAAATTTGTTTTCTCATAAATTTTTGCATTGTGGATTAATTAAATGTATAAATTACAATTGCAAATTGCATTATTTCGCATTGCAAGAAATTTGATACCTATTAAATATATCGTCGATAATTGTGTGAAAATTGTACATTATGTAGAAAATTAAATTTTCTACTATTAATTGTCACGTGTTGCAAAAATACCGAAACTATAGAAATGCGAATAAATTATTATTGCAAATAAATTAATTATTAATCAACACAAATTAAATATTAGCTTACTTACATTTAATATAAAATAATAAGCATCAAAAGAGAGTAGAAAATATTCGACAAAGTAAAATGGAAGAATGCTCACATCTCTTTTTATCAACACGCTCTTTACGAGATATCGCAAAGATAAGAATTTGCGCGAGCATAATAAAATATTCTGGACAAGTAAATCTTAGTTCGTATATATCGTTATATATTCATATCACAATTTTTTAGTATATAAACTCGCGAATTTATTTCGGTAGTTATATTCAAACAAGCGAAACACCAAAAAACGGGATAATATAAGGAAGAGAAAAGAAATCGTAACATTTTTATATGAGATAGATATTTCACGTTCTCCACATTTCTAAATTTGTAGAGAAATACTTTTACCCTATTAATCTTTTTTTTATCGCGAAATAATTTATCGTTTCGTCTGTGTTATTTCTCATAATCACGATTAAAATTCAATAATAATTTACATTTGATTATTCTAATTTTAATTAAATTTATTATTTTATTTACTTCAAAAATTAATTAATTAAATCGCAGACAAATAAATTATATATTTGTATAATCTCTAAGTTGAACTTCTCTTTAACATAGAAGTTTTAAATAAGTTTAAGAATGTCAGATTAAAAATTTTGTGCCTTGAGTTTTAATTATTCAATTTTATATGTTCGAATACAATTTTTTATAAATAATAATCCTTAAGGTTGCCAGTAATAATTAATAAAAAACCACTCCTCAATGTTTAAAGTCGACCAGACTGGCAATAATTATTATAAATAATTATTTGAAATACAACAACAACGTTTCGGCTGTCATTGCAGCCCTTTCAAGTACATCAAATTTAAAACAGTAAATCAACTTCTATGCAAACTACCGACAATGTTAACGCTTGTTTTGATGAACAATGTAAGACAATTTTTATTTTTATAATAGCACTTACCTGTGCCAAACTTGCCACGGCGAGGCCAAAGGTGAACGCAATGTGCAAAACAGTCGGTGGTGTATCCAAAGACCATGTGATGCAAGAGGCGCAGCCTAGGAGGACCAACAGAAACGTGCCCAGAATTTCGGCAAACAGCATCACCAGGAAGTCGAGCTTGGTGACTTCCTCCAGACCGACGAACTCCTTGACACCTGCGCAAAAAAAAAAAAAATCAAAAAATTGAATCCAACTCGTGATCCGTCCTATTTTTCTAAAAAAATCAATTTTTTCTTTATTAGAGAAAAAAATTAATTCAATTTCTATAACTGTGATTTCTGCAATGATAATGTAATTTATTTGATTTAGAAAATTCCTATAGATTTCACAGTTTCACAATTCTTGTATATCTTGTATTTAAAATAATCTAAGAAAAGAATCAATATTTTCATGACTTGTTATATTAACAAACAAAAGGTACTAAATGAAATAATAGGCAAAGAAACAATAGGCAGTTCGCCATAAGCAGCAGTCGCGCATAACAGAGATAATTTCTGCGATATCGTTTCTTTACTATTATTTCATTTAATACCTTTTGTTTGTTGTTAATGGCGAGATTGATTAGAACGTTTCGAAGAATATTTCTTTTTAAATCGCGAACTTGGAGGAACTCATTAAAATATAATAAAGAAAGTGTCTCTTAATTACATGGTTATTCATACGTCATTTGAGAGCTTTCGCTATACATTTGTGAAAATATTTAATTTATTTATTAATTTCTATATTTAGTTCAAACTCTATTCACAGTCAATCGAGATTTTTATAGTTATATTTTTTATTCAAAGTTTATTAATTTATTTCATAAACACAGTTCATATTAATTGGTGATTAAATTAGAGAATTTGAAAAATATTGAAAAGATAGAATTACGAGAGGAACATTTTTTATCGTAACTTTATAATAATTTTTTATCACGATATCAAACGATATGTAAGAAACATGTGTCTCATCGCATATTGAAGTGCGTTGGAGTGGATTTACACAGTTGATTAAAAGGTGTGATTAAAAGGTGTCCACATGATATCATATCCAAAATAAACACACGTACAATATAAATTAGAGATGACAGTTAAGTGCGTCCTCGTGAGGAATTTCCCAAATATCTTTGAGTGCCAAAAAATTTTTAAATATACCGATGACCCACTACGAAACAATATTCATATACAAGTGATAATACATTTCATTAAATTCTGATTGTTAAATGTTAATACTCATTAATTCATAGTTTTTAGATTTCAGTTTTTAATCTATTTTTGAAGAGTTTGCTTTTATACTACATTCAATATATATATATATATATTTCTCAAATATTTTTTAATATTTGATTTTTCAATATTATTTATTCGATCGATAACATTATTTGTTTTTCCTGTATAAATTTTAACGTATAACAGATAAAATGTTCGTAAAGAGGAATCATGATTTTGTAAGATTTAAACAAATAACAGTGGTAATTTTTTTTTCTCACGACACCTCGTGTAAACGGATTATACTTTTGGATCGTAATAATAGTGTGTGCGGTTTGCCTATGTAATTTACTAGCCAGTCAACAAACGACGCATATCTTCGTTTGCATGCATCGTCACGACGAATACTACCTTGAATCGTATTCCTCCACTTATCATTTTCATTGATCAACTACTTCCTCCTTTTTTCTATATGTATGATCGGGATAAAAACTTCATCGTTTATGTTAATAAACTTTTTCGTATCCTCAAAATACTTCAAAATACATTGAATTTTAAGCAACTTTAATTCCATTTTTGACATTCATCGTTAGTGCATTTTGAGAAGAATATATTACTTATCTAGTGTAATAAAAGTACTTTGTATTTATGTATATTTTATTTATATAGAATAGAAATATTATTTTGCTAAATTATTCGAATCACTGACCTGTAAAAAATTTACTATCTGGCGCCTCTTAGCGAAATCTTATCTTTTCTTGATAAATTCTAAGAAAAATGTTTATGAAAAAAGTACAAAAATAATGCATTGAAAAAAAAACAAGATAATTTACGATAAATCTATAAAATTAAATAAATATCTTAGGAAAACAAGATAATTTATGATATAATAAATTTGAAGAATTCTGACAGAGATATTATAAAGATAATATAGATGGTCAATTTTCCGCTCAGTAAATTTTCATCCCATTTCATTCACAACTCTCATATAATTCTCTAAAAGGCAAAGAAACCTTTTTCAATCTCTTCGTTGACATTCAATAATTCCGTACCACATACCTTTCCACTGTTTACTCATGATTGTTCTCTCTTTCTCTAGCACAATTCACTCTACCACCCCTTCGAATTTCCTTAAAATCTCCTCAAGGAAGCTGAACACGTCGACGAATCGATTTCGATCGCGTTCGACGACCTCTCCAGGCAGAAATCAATCTCCTCAACTTGTCACAAACTTGCAAGGCTATCAGAAAAACGGTAGAGAAAAAATGTGGAAAATCGAAAGATATATATTTGAAAAAAATGCGCGAAGAGAGCGGAGGACCGGCACTTCCTGCGCTATCGCGAGTGCACACCACGTGAGAGAGTTTCTGGGCGACGTGCGCCTTCATATATCGCTTGCGTTCGCCGACCACGGGGTCCTCCTCCCTCTTTCCAAACAACGCGGACGCGCGCGCGGATCTCCCTGTTGCCCTCCTGTCACCTCTTCAGGGCCTCCCACCGAACGTGCGGCGAAAACTTCTTGAGGAAGGAAGAAGTTGGGAATTGCTCGGGGCACAACTGAAGTTCTATCCTGTCGTTCACGATCTGTCAGGATGCGAAACCCAACCTGTCATCGGGTATCCCTGACAACGCGGTGGAAAGCTCTTTATTCAATTATTTTTTGATATGAATTATGATATCGAAGGATTTTGATAGAAGATCCTATTATTGTGTGAAATTTATGTATGAAATTTATTTGGAATTTTTGCATTAATTTAAAGTCAGAGAATTTTCTCTTAGAATTTACCCTGAAAATCAGACAGCAGAATATATATTTTATAAAAGTTTTTTTGATTAATATAATATTTACCACAATAAAAAATATGAATATGTATATGTATATACATACATAGTAAAATTAATCAAACATATTTCATATCTTATTGTGATAGATATATACATTTTATTATGATAAATATTAATCAAAAAAACTTTAATAAAATCCTGCTGTCTGAAATGATTTTCAGGGTAAATTCTACGAGAAAATTCTCTCTGGGTTAGAATATTTCTCCAACACTTTTTCACGATCAATCTTTTCAAGATTGTCTAAACAGGTTTGAAATGCATTTTTGCATTTTTGAGATTTATTTGATACAAGTTCTGTTCGCGCGTATATGTTTTAATTAATTATCACTAATTATCTAATTAATCATCGAAAGCTACGTTATCGAGCAATGGTTCGAAAACTGTAGAAACATATAACATGTGTTGTATATGGTAAAACAACCATGGTAAAACAACATTCGTGAGTGTCATACGAAAATGTTTGACATGTGTAACCCACGTGCGTCGTCCCGTACGCACACGTGGACACTGTCATTCATGAATTCGCGGATCTCATTTAGTAGATAGATGACCTTTAACGGCCAATACTAATTTGTAATTTATATTCTTACATAATGCATTAAAATTTTAATTTTGAGAATTCATAGAAAACACGTTCGAGAGAAGCAGCTTTTAATTCGCATACATTCGTCATCGATTTACTAGCTATTTTTCATTTCTATAATTGTTTATCGAAATTTCTTTAGCTATATATTTTATAAAAAGAATTGGTACATTGGGAAAATAAAAATTAAGTGTATAAGCATAAGCAAATAATAAGAGCAGAAGAGCAAAAGAAAAAAGAAACAGAATATAAAAAAGAATAAAAAAATCTATTATATACATATATACAAATGTGACTAAGAGATAATGAATTAGCAAATTGCATGTTAAAATATGGCAAATGAAAAATGTGATTAAACAATTCAATTATTAAAATTAAACCACACAATTTGCATAAAGTATTAAATCGGTTTAATATGTGTAAATATATAAAATAATAAATCAAATTTGCATATTTTAAAAAATAGATTTAAAATTTTAAATATATAGAGATTCGTCTGCGTTAATAAATAATGAATAGTATGATATGTCAGTAAACTGTCAAATTCGATTTCGTGTAATTCAAACCTTCTCTCTGTCTCTCTCTCACTTTTTTCACTTTCATTTTCATTGAATAAAAAGACTCGCTTTTAATGCTCGAGTTGAAAAATCGCTCTCGCGTGGGCGTGACGAGAGGCGATCTCTTTCAAGTACAAAAATTCAATTCAACGTGATGTATATTAAGTCAACGAGTTGCCGTAATGCAGCGGAGCGATATAAAAATGTCTGCAAACTTTGTCGATATCATGTCCTTGGCGAATTCGAGATAAAGAAAAAATAAATATACTGAGTAAGCCAAAAACTAGAACGCTTGGAAAGAAATGTTATATTATATACACCTTTGTTCATTATATATTTATATAATGAAAATAATTTAAATAAAAATATAAAGTCTCTAAAAAAATTTCACGGAACAAAAATTAAAAAATTCTGAGAATTCTACATTACAAATTTATTTCTTTATAATTTAAGGAAAATAAAATAGTTTCATTTTTTACGCTGTCTAAAGAATAAATTTTCTAATTTTTATTCTACTCACAAATTAAAGTCATTTCTTTCTCTTAATCTCTTTTTATGACTCTGTCGAAAATAAAGGATATGAGAGGCGCGTAGTTTTACATCATAGCGCGTTATCAGTGTTTATCAACGCTACCTGAGGCAGATAAGTATTACGCCGTCGAGAAGTTTGCGTTCTCTCTCTTTCTCTTTCTCTTTTCTCACTCTTCTCGCCAGAACCCAGTGTCAATAGACACGGTAATTAAACGCTATTAATTGGGTCGTTATGCGGCGGCGAAGCGACTCGGTTGTAAATAGCTTCCGCAATTAGCGTTGTGCATTCGTCATTCGTCGTCGCGTTGCATTCTTGAGCGCTGCACTTGCAACGAGAATAATTACATCTGTTGTGTTGCTTACATACGTAACCCGCGAAAAGAATTCACATCACATGCGCGCTCGTTACACGCTATATTGCGTGTATTAAATACATCTCGTTCTTTACCATG